GAGGGGGGCCAGCCAGAGCAGGAGGATGTGGCTCTCTGTTCTCTGGAACACCTGCCTCCGAGGACAAGAAATTCTGGGATCTGGGAGCCTCCTGAGCTAGACAAGAGTCCAGAGGAAGAGGCTTCAAGCACAGAGGCAGCAGGAAGTTACAAAGTTGTGAGAAAAGGTAAGATAAATTGGGGCCCACTGGGGAGACAAACCCCCGATTTTGCTAGGGTAGAGGCGAGTCTTCCAAAGGCTGCTTCCTTCCCCACCTTATTCTGGAAGCCACACGTGTGCAGGGCTCACCCTGGGTCCTCGGGGAAGGAGACGTGCTGATAGCATGCAGAGGGCAAAGGCTTTGCGGTCAAACAGCCAAGAGCCAAAGCCCCAGCTCCATCACTTCATGTCTGTGTGACGTTAGAGCACACTCGGAACCATCCCGGAACTTCCTCTGTAATGTGAGGCTAGTGCCTCGTACCTGGCACTGATCAGCCGTCAGTAAGAGTCTCTGCTAGTGTCCCACTCGTCTGCCAGGCCTAAGGAAAAGGGGAGGCTCTTCTCAGAGCCTCAGGCCTGCAGAGACAAGGACTCCTGCTTGCAGCCAGTCCCTTCAGATGGCAGAGATGAAGGCACTGGCATTGTGGGGGTGGAGAAGCGCTGAACTAGAGGTTGAGCTGAGAGAGGGGCCTTCAGACAAGTCGGGGAAGATGCTCGGAGAGTAAGAGGGGTGGGAGTGAAGGAGGTGGCAGGGAGGGCACCCAGCTGTGGATATGGTGGACGCTTTAACACAAGCAAAGCTGAGCCTGCCAGGATGGTGCTCAGGACGGGTTTGGCCAGAGCAGTGAGCCCTGGCAGGGGAGGGGTCAGCGGGAGAGGGAAGCCCGGTGGAGAGCGTCAGTGCCAGGAGTTCCCGATCCTCCCCTCGTGCTCAGCTCTGCCTCCCTTTCCAGGAGCATTTATTACTCATCTGCTCAAGATCTGCCCTCTCTCCTGGGTTTCTGGGAACTGACCTTCCTTCTCTCTCCTTTGGTGAATTGGTGGGAAAGTTCTCCGCAGCTCCCTGGGGTAGAGTCACGTGTGAGCTTGTGTTCACTGTGTTCTTCCCTTTTTCTTTCTCTCCACCCCCACTTCTTCCTCCTCTCCTTCCCTTCCCTTCTCTTCTGGTTTCTGCTCTCCCTGGTGGTGGTGGTGGCGGTGGCGGTGGCGGTGCAGCTGAGGTGGCAGGCAGTAAGGCTGTCCCTGCTCTACCAGAGGGTGGCCAGTCAGAGGCTGAGCCACCTGAAGTGGAAGGCGGAGCAAAGGCTACGGGTAATGAACCCCTCCTGGGAGCCAGAGACGGCCACGCTGAGTGTGGGGCCCAGAGGGCAGAGCCGGGCCCTGGGCCACAGACAGGGACAGGCCTTGTGCCACCCCCTTGTCGAGAGCTGCCCAGGCGTCTTGCAGAGCAGGAGGGTGAGCCGCTGTGCTGTCATGTGGGTGGGAAGCCTGGCCCAGTGCCCAATGTCCTTACCCGAGAGCCTGATGGCGAGCCACTTCTTGCCCACACCAGCCACTACTCCAGTGTCACGGTGGACATAGGCTTACGTGCCCTCCACAGTTCCTTGGCGTCCACCTATGCCTACTGCCCGGGCAGGGACCCTCTGCGTCCTTCCTCCGCCTGCCTGGCCCCCAATGATGAGTGGAGGTATCTCCAGGATTGTGAAGCAAATGGCCGATGGGCAGGGTCAAGGAGGCTACTGCCCATGGCTTTTCACAAGTTCCTGAACCAGCCACCACCTCCTTACCCTTCCTTCTAGGAATGGGAGCCCTTCCCCATTTCCCAAATGAAACACAACCCTGCCACTCTGCCTTAACTGTCACACTGAGTGTCTTCCCCGGGGATGGGACACGCTAAGCAGAATTGCCATCCAGAAGGCTCTGGAGGAGGAGCGCTCCAGGCGCGCAGTAGGCAGCAGGAGGCGGAGTGCTCTGAGCTCATCGTAGGACGGTCTCCTTGGCCCAGTCAGGCAGCAGGGCGAGCGCCAAGGGAGAGAAGGTGGCTTCCACTTGCTCTGCACTTGCCTCCTAATCTCTCGCTCTCGCCATGGGGACAGGGAACTGTTTCTATGTCAGCATGCCAGCAGGACCCCCCGACTCCAGCACCGACCTCTCTCAGCCCAACGGCCTCCCTGCCTGGCAGACCGAGCCGCAGCCGCGGGGAGGCAATGGAGAGCCGAGGCGCCCCAGCTGCTTGCCCCCCAGCCTGGCCGTCAAGAACATGGGCATAATCTTCCAAACCATTGAGCAACTCACCCTCAAGCTCAACAGGCTCAAGGTGAGGGGACTGGGGCTCAGGCCCTCAAGGCAGTAGGAGCAGCCTGTTTTCAGTCGTGTGGGAGGCAGGGGGGGGGAGGCTTGGACTGGTGGTGTGTCCATGGGAGCCCTAGCTCTTGGCCTGCCCAGGGCTCCCCTTGGTGCACCCAGGGACCTTCTGAACCGGACCCTCCGCACTCTTCCAGGACATGGAGCTGGCCTACAGGGAGCTGCTCAGGTCCCTCGGGGGCGAGTCCTCTGGCGGCACCACGCCTGTGGGCAGTTTCCACACAGAAGCGGCGAAGTGGGCAGATTGCTCCCTGTCCCCTCCAGTGAAGGATCCCCCGCCCTCTGACTCCTGGGACAGCCACGAACTGGGGCCCTGCCCCGAGGACAGTGAGTGAAGCTGATTTCCTCTTCGTACCAGCCCCAGGGGAGGAAGCGTCCGATAGTGAGGACACGCTGCCACGCAGTATGAGGCGAAAAGGGGTTCTGGGGTGGGGGTGGGGGGGTCTTGTTGCTTGAGATAGTGAGGACACGCTGCCACGCAGTATGAGGCGAAAAGGGGTTCTGGGGTGGGGGTGGGGGGGTCTCATTGCTCCCTGAGAACAGGTAATTCCCCCAGTTCTTATGAGCTTGAGGACTTTCCGGGCAAAACATGAGAGAGGGGCCATCTCAGGCCAGTTCCTCAGTCATCACTGCATCCTCCACAGGCACCAGAAGCCCCCAGGAAGACAGCGTGGCAGACGCAGCCACACCCCCAGGACTGTAGCTGTGCACACCACCAGTCCTCTGCACCCCACTCCTCGCTCGGGATGGCCTAGGGCAGGGCGCAGGGTGGGGATACCCAGCCTCTCCCGTGGTAGATAGAGGCAGTTCAGGAGACGGATCTACCGGGGCCGACGCGCATGTTGCTTGGGAGTCCAGTTTCAGTGTCTTGCTCATCCTCACCCGAGGATATTTTCCATTGATTTTTTTTTTTAAGAGAAAGTAGAAAAGAGGGTGGGGGAGAGAGACATCGAGTGGTTGCCTCTCGCTGGCACCCTGCCCAGAGGCTGGGGATCAAACCTGCAACCCGGGTGACCGGGACGCCAACACTAACCACTGAGCAACACCGGCCAGGGCCAGTTTCAGGGTCTTTTCCCCTCCCTCAGGCCACCGGTCCTGTGCATGCTGGCTGCATCTTTAAGGCCCCCTTGTCCCACATATGCGTGTCCACTGGTGCGCGTGGGTACCTCAGGCATGCGAGGGAATGGGGAAGGCTTCTGTGTAAATGCACTTTCTTCCCCTTCCTTCCCCCCAGGGTCCCAAGGCTCAGGGGGGTGCCTCCACCTCCCCTCTCCGTCACTTGGATTCCTATAAATATGTATGTATTGTACGTGCATCTTTGCTGTTGTAAATAACTTGGACCTTTCTGTTCCTGGCGTGCTGGAGGCAGCCACAGAGCCACTGCCAAGGGGAGAGGAGGTGCAGCTCCTAGTTCTCGCCCAGCTCCTGGATCAGGGCCTGAAGGTTGAGCCAGTCCCTTGTGGGCCCACCTAGCGCGGGAGTCCGGTCTCCGCGGCTCAGGGCCAAGCCACACCCTCCCCACTGGACTTCCCACCCCACCTGTGTCCACCCTTTCCCTACAGAAAACCGGTGTATCAGGTACGGAGCTAAAAACTGGGTGGGCCCCAGAGTAGGGGGTTCAAATGCTGGAGTCCCTAAGTTCACCCAGGACCACCCCAGGAGCCACTGCAACATTGGCCCCTGTTACCATGTCCATGGCACTCCCCACTGACTCACAGAATATACACACTGTGCTAGGTGTATATATACATATATAAATATATATATAATATATAAAATACAGATATGGAAATGACTGTTCTGCTGTTAAAATAATGTATACTCTTATTTTCTTCCTTTCATGATTAAGATTTTTTTTTAAGAAAAGTTAAATATTCTTCAACTGTCGTGGTGTGTGTGTGTTTCTTGGAACTGCTATGATAAAAGGTACTGTGGTTGTTCCCCCTCCGGCTGGATAGAGGGACAGAAGGACGTCCCCCCTCACCCGACATCCAGTCCCAGACCCAGCTCTTGCCATATTCTCTCCTAAGCTCCAAATGTGTGCTCACTGAAGTACAGTTGGGCAAACTAAATTACACAGCCCCATGGCCAAAACACAAAAAGACACTTCACCCACTTAAACACACACACACACACACACACACACATACATACAGGAGCGGTGGATCCTAAGTCACGAGACCTCCTGAGCTGCCCTCAGTGAGCGTCAGGGCTTTAAAGGCAAACATGCAGGGGAGGGGCATCTCAGCCTGCACCCCCTGCAGGCTCTGCACCCCCAAGCCAGCACGACCGACACAGCCACATCCTCTGACTAACCATCCAAATCTTCACTATCTCTTTGCCTTCACTGTTGGCCTTAGAGACAAATTCTCTTTCAGTCCTAATATCCTCCCTCCTAACTTATCACGATTCCAGGTGCTGACCTGGAGCTTATGGTCTAGTTGGGCATGAGAATTAGTGCACAGTCATTGGTGCTTAAGTGCGAATAAGAAAGGGCCGGAAAGGTTCACAGAAGCTTTACCTTAGAGCAGCGGTTCTCAACCTGTGGGTCGCGACCATTGGAAAACACATATAGCATATCAGATATTTACATTACGATTCATAACAGTAACAACATTACAGTTATGAAGTAGCAACGAAAATAATTTTATGGTTGGGGGTCACCACAACATGAGGAACTGTATTAAAGGGTCGCGGCATTAGGAAGGTTACTGCCTTAGAAGGATTCAGGTAGGAACAACTGGAGAAGCTGAGGGGACTAGTCCTCGCCAGGCACCTGTAATTGCTCGTGTTCTCGTGTTGGGAATCTAACGCTGGCCAGGTTTCCTGCAGCAGCTCAGCCAGCTGCCCAGGGCTGAGCAGGTGGTCAGAGGCCGAGAAGCCTGGAGAGCCACTGAGCTTCACCAAGAGCGTTCTCGGCAGGGAGAGCACATCTCTGTCGAGGCAACAGCGTGAGGGGATGTGGACCAGGTTAACTGCCCAGAGGGGAAGGAGGGACACTTCCCTGGAAGCTCCCTGTAAAGTGGCTCTTGGCTCCCAGGAGCCAGCCCTGTGCGCTCTCCGCCTTGTCAGTAGGTCCTGAGGGAGCCACACTGATGGGCCCCCAGCTCTCCTGACTCCTCTGGCCCCCGCACCATTTGGGTGTCCTGGTTTAGGATTGCGGACATCTGTAGGTGCAGGTGCTCTGGGAGCACAGGAGAGAGTGGCTGTGGCCTGAGCAAGCAAGAACTAGGCCCTCAGGAGGCAGGAGAGCAAGACCCGGCAAACTGCAGCGATTCAGCCATTCCTGGCCGTTACATAAACAGACTCAAGAGTCCAAATGTTCCAAGTATTTCCAGAACAAAGTTTTTAGACAATTTCAAGGGGAAAGTACAAGTGGCCTTTGTTACTGACCTGAGATCTCACCTAGGGAGGTCAGCCCACACCTGGGCAGGAGATGCTTCTGTGGGGGGGGGGGGGGGGGGGGGGGGGGGGGTGGACCTAGGTGGCGGAAGCCATGGCCTCCTCCTCTCTGTGCTTGGCCTTACTGATGGGGTCCCTTGGCAGCATCAGTTCCTGCATCATGATGTACATGGGGCTTTGCGGGGAGAAGTTGTTTTTCTGAAGGAGGAAAAGGAAGGCCCACAAAAGGGATGGAAATGCGTTTTCTGGGAGAAAAGTCTTCCTGGGTCAGGATGGGTGAGGGGCTGCGGGACATGGACAAAAGGCAGAGTGAGTATGTGCTAATCTTACAGCAAGACAGACGGAGGGCACGTGGTGATAAAAAGAACTAGAACTAGAGAAGCGGCGCAGGGCAGGGAAGGGGACTCACCGCCAGAGACAGCCAGAGCAGCCCCACGGGGCCCTTGGCCGCGCTCTTGGAGGACTTGGAGAACTGCGCCTGGTACCGCACCACATTGAGGAAGCCCTCCAGCCCCACCTCGGTGATGCGGTTTCCTGGTGGAAGGAGCCGAAAGTGCCTCTTACACCACCACCCTCAGGGGACACCCTTCACAGCCTCACTCCACCGCCAGCTCCCAGCTCGCCAGCTCTGACTCCTCTGCCTTTCCTCAGCCTTTTTCTTTTTCCCACCCCTACTTCTCTCTCTCACTCCCTTCAATTGCCCGACCCATGAGCTGACTTCCTCTCACTCAAAAGGGCCTCCGACATCATAATGGTGTCTCTCCAACCGGGGGAGAACCAGGTTCTGCTGGGGGAGGGGGGGGGCGCACCCTTAGGGCAGTATGGGCCTCGAGTAGCCTTGGCACAGGAGGGCAGGGCTGGTTGGCACACTTACGGAGGAGGTTGAGGTGCAAAAGGACCTTGTTCCCAAGCAAGAAAACTTTCCCATCTCGGTGTTCCACAGGCTCCAAGAGAGGGTTGACCATCTCCGTAGCTTCAACAATCAGCTGCTAAAGTAGAATAGTAATTGCAGCAAAGGAGAGGCTGGTCAACAGGTCACTCATTCATTCATTCATTCATTCAACACACATGCTTTGAGGGCTGGCTATAGTGCAGGCTCTGTCCTAGGTGCTGGGGATACAGAAATAAATATGCCCATATCCTCAAGAAGCAACGGGGTGTGGGAGGCAGAAAGTGAAATGATAGTCTGGTATGCGTGCGTGACAAGTGGCAGAGGTCAGCGCAGGGTACTGCAGGAGCACAGAGGAGGGGCACTAGCCCGGTCTCCCAGCAGAGGTGGCCTGTGAGCTGAAGCCTGAATGGTACCCAGTAGATACCAGATGAAGATGAGAGGAAAGGTGTTCCAGGCAAAGAAAGCAGGTGGTCAAAGGCCTGAAACAGTACAGGGCACACGGGTTTTCCCGTTTCCTAAGGGCTAGCGCGCCGAGGGCAGTGATGGGAGGAACTGGTGAAGAGAGGAGAAGAAAGCGCCATAGTCCTGGGGAGAAACAGCAGCCTGGACAAGACGGGACAATGGCGTGCGAGGCACCTCACCCCCTTCTCTGCCTGACCGTCCTCTTTTGCAAGGTCTTGTCTCAGATGCCAGAGAGGACTCCTAAGAGGGAAGGTCTCCTGATGGCCAGAGACAACCTCTCGGAGAGGACGGCTGGCAGGAGGGAGCTATGGGTGACCGTCCGGGAAGCAAGGAACAAATTGGTCCTAGTGGGAGGGAAAGGGAGACTCCAGGGCAAGGGGGGTCTGAGGAGCCTCACACAGTAGGGCAACAGCATGACTATAGACGCCCTGTGCCCAGGGCAGCTGTCCCAGCAGACGTGGAGGTGGTGATGGTCAGTCAGTGGCCTTTTGGGAAGCAAACTGAGGTGAGACAGGATCAAAAGTGTGAGCTCCTAATGAGCAAGGAAAAAGCGGGGGAGGGGGCTCCTCAAGCCTGAAGGGAGGGGCATCCTGTTGTCCCGCAGCAAGCCCAGGCT